ATTGAAGATAGGTAAAGTATTCAAACAAGTGCAAAATGTGGTGATAGTAGGCGCAGGTAGTCATGGTGGAAGAATCATGAGGCTCTTAGTCACAGGTGATTTAAATGAAGCCTTGCCCTGCTGTGAAAATCTCAGAATGGATGATCAATCTGTGAACGTAGGTTTTAAGTATGAGCGATTAGTGAACCACTGTCACTATTGCGGCCTAATTGGTCACCTGGAAAGAGCTTGCTCAAAAAGAATGGAGGATATAAGATCGCATAATCTGAGAGAAGGGCAATATGGTGCTTGGATGAGAGCAGTTGAAAATAGTCATTGGTCAGGACTTCATGCTTCTGGCTCCCAAAGCCCCACCTCATTCTGAAAATCCCTCTTCCCCAGCCCACACAGATTCCCCTTCTCCCACTTATAACACCCCAAAGCATGACAACAACAAACTCCTCTCTATTGAGGGCTCTCCCTCCCATCATAAAATGCCAGCTACTGAAACATCTACTTCTCAAACCAACCAAACCTCTCCTGTGGCACATCAGAATCAGTAGCCTGATAATCAACCCTCAACCATTTTAATTGAAGACAACTCTTTAATCCTGCACCATCAACACCTTTCCAAAGACATGGAAATTGAAACTCAACAATTTTACTCTCCTCAAGAAAAAGCTCTGCAACTATCTCACCGTGTTAAGCTTCACCCCAAACCCAAACTTTGGAAAAGAACTTCAACCAGAATTGGCAGGCTACAAAGACAGTCCACCAGCCCTTCAGTCCAGGAAGTTGGCAAGACTGCTAAGAGAACTAAGGATATTACTAAAGGAGATATGGCTGAAGACAGTTCTAGCAAACCAGAACAAGAAGATAACAAAAAGCAAAGGACAGACTCTAAAAAGGTGGGGGTGGCCAGTCTTGAATGGCACCCAAGTGGCCAATGTTAGCTGCGGTGTGGAATTGTAGAGGGCTGGGTGGGCCCTCTACAATTTTCCAAATCAGAGAGTCATGTAAGACTCACCACCCAGCTTTTGTCTTCTTGTAGAAACTAAAAAGTCCTCAGCTTTTGTTAAATTAGTAGTTAGAAAATTGAGTTTTGATAATAGATGTTCTATTGTAGATCATGTTGATCTCAGTGGAGGATTACTCCTTTGTTGGTCCCTTGAGGTTCAAATACTCCAGATCAACAAGCAAGCTTTCTACATTGCAGTAGAGTACAGTTTAGCAGATTCTTCTCCTACTTGGGGTTCTTTGTTTATCTGAGCACCTGCTATCTGACAAGGCACACTGAATGGACAAAATTACTTTCAGCTAAGTATTCTTGGGGAAATCACTGGCACATCCTAGGAGATTGGAATGATATTTGTCTCATTGTTGAAAAAATGGGGAGTATTCCAAGATCCCTAGGTAGTATGGTTGGCTTCAACTCATTCATTGATATCATGGAGATGGATGAGATCAAGATGATTGGATACAACTGCACTTGGTGTAACAACAGATTCTCAGAAGGGTTAGTGGAAGCAAAACTTGATAGAGGGTTTGCTTCTGCTGAGTGGTTGGAATTTCATCCTCAAGCAGTCATTTATAATGAAGCAAACACTGCCTCTAACCATTCTATGTTGATTCTGGAATCTGGTGACAGGAAAGAGAGGAAAAAAAGTTGATTCCATTTTGACAAAAGATGGCTCACAAGAGAAAGAGTTAAAGAGGTTATTCAAAAAGCATGAGGCATTCCCTACTCTGGCACTCTTTTTTTCATCCTCAAGGAAAAAATCAAGTCAACTAGACAGACACTTTTGATCTGGAGTGCTACTTTCAAAACACAGAACCAATCTACCTTTGATAATCTCTCCAAGAAACTAAGCACATTACAGCAAAATGGGAGCATATCTTGGGAGGACTGGATTGAAACCAAAAAAGAACTGGAAGCAGCTCACAGAACAGAAGAACTCTTCTGGCAGCAAAAAACAAAGATCCAGTGGCTCAAAGAAGGAGATAACAACTCTAAATTCTTTCATGCTTACACCATGGTCAGAAGGAGACAGAATGCAATTAAAAGGCTGCTTACAAACCAGAACCATGTCTGTGACACTCAACAGACTATTCAGAGCCATATTGCCCAATACTATGCTGATCTTTTTTCTTCTAAAGGTTCATGGGGAGGGGTCTCTACTCTCCCACTCATCACACCCTTCATCAATGAAGACATGAAACTTCTGCTGCTGCAACAAGTTACTGAGGAAGATATCAAAGCAGCCCTTTTCAGCCTGCAACCAGATAAATCACCCGGAGAAGATGGTATGACAACACTTTTTTATCAAACTTTTTGGGAGATTATCAAATTTGACATGGTGTCTGTTATTTCCAGCTTTTTTAATGATAAAGGTATGCTTCTCAAATACTGGAATCATACTATGGTCCTCTCATACCTAAATGTCATAATCCAGAATATGTGACTCAGTTCAGACCTATTAGTCTTTGCACTGTGGTGTATAAGATTCTATCCAAAACCATTGCTCAAAGGCTTAAAAAATGTTTAGAAGTGTGCATTAGTGACTCTCAATCTGCATTCATCAAAGGAAAGCAACTAATGGATAATGTCATCATTCGACAGGAAGCTTTCCACTATCTTAATAGGCACAACTCTGACAAACACTGCTTTATGGCCCTCAAACTTGACTTAATGAAAGCATTTGATAGAGTTGAATGGATTTGCATTAAAAAATCATGCTGAGAATGGGTTTTCATCAAGACTTTGTGGATTTAATTATGATTTGTATCACATATTCCTCCTTCTCATTTAAAGTCAATGGTGCAGTGCCTAGTTATGTTCTGTCTTCTAGGGGGATAAGACAAGGGGATCCTCTATCCCCTTATCTTTTCATAATTGTTGTTGAATTTTTATCTGCTCTGGTTTCTCAAGCTACTACCTCTGGTCATCTCACTAGTCTGAAAATCTCTACAAATGGTCCAGCTATTTCACACTTGCTCTTTGTTGATGACTCTTTATTCTTCTGTAAGGCATCTGTTGATCAGACTAACATCATTTTATCCATTTTAGAGAGGTACAGGTTATTTACTGGGCAATCAGTGAACTTGAGCAAGTCTTCAGTGTTTTTCAGTAGGAAAACTCATGCTCCTCTGCAGAACAGTGTTTGTGCAACTTTGTCAGGGATTACCATCCACAGATCCACAAGATACTTGGGTCTCCCTTTAGGCATTGGCAAGTCTAAGCTGGAAACATTTCAGTATATTTTAGACTCTATTCAAAATAAAATTCAAAGCTGGATATCTAAGTTGCTTAATCAAACTGGGAAAGTTGTTCTGATCAAAGCTGTTTTGCAGGTCCTACCCATGTTTACTATGTCTTGTTTCATGCTTCCAAAAACTTTATGTGCAAACATAACCAAAATCTGTTCTCAGTTCTGGTGGAGTACAGGTGAGGAACAATCTCATGGCATTCATTGGAAAGCTTGGAACATCCTTTCTCTGCCAAAGGCTGAAGGAGGGCTTGAGTTTATTGATCTTCAACTCTTCAACACAACCCTTATTTGCACTCAACTGTGGAGAATTTATACTCAACCAAATCTTCTTGGCAGTAGGATCTTGAAAACCAGATATTAACCCAACTGCTCCATCTTTGAGGCTGTCAAAACTCCAAGTTGCTCATGGCTCTGGTCAAATTGGCTGAAAGCTCTCCTTACCTTTGCCAAAAGCTATGCAGTGGAAATTAGGAATGGGGCTACCAGTAGACTAGAAGATGTAAATTGGGTTCCCACCCTTATGCACCTAAAACCCACTCTCACTGAATTGGCCAGAGGGCACTTGATCTGGGTTAGAGAGATTATGAATGAGGCAGGGACTGGTTGGAATTCATGGTTGATTAACCAAGTGTATAATGATCAAGACAGCAATGCAATTCTTGCTATCAGCACTCTCAAGCCGGGTAAGCAGGACATACAGTACTGGAAATTCAATAAGAAATGTGACTTTTCAGTCTCCAGCACTTACTGTTTTTTATCTCAGCAAAAAATGCATTCTCTTGACATACTTGCTAGCAGTAATATGGTTGGCACACTCTTTACCAAACTGAGACAGAGACTTTGGAAGCTGAAGGTGGTTGGCAAAGTTAAGCTGTTCATTTGGAAATGTATTTATGAAGCTCTTCCTATCAAAACTAATCTTAGTAAGAGATGATTGAATCTTGATGTTATTTGCAGTATATGTGGAGAACACCCTGAGACTGTGAATCATGTTCTCTTTACTTGCTCTAGAGCGGCTAAACTATGGAGCATATCTCCTGTCACTTGGAACCAGCACCCTGCTGAGGATGACACTTTTAGCAGCTAATGGTATTCTATTTGCTCACTTGGTACTTCCGAGACATCAGAGGCAAGGATTCAGCTTACCACGTACATCCTCTGGTGGCTCTGAAAAACTCGCAATCTCAGCATATTTCAAGATGTCCTGCTCCTCATTCATGTCACTCTGAAGGCTGCTCAACATGACTGGATGGAGTTTACTCAACTGTTTAGCTAGACGGGTCTATTCTGTTTGGACTTTGTTTCATTTATGTCATTATTTGATTTAGTGTTTTAGTTTTCGCCTTTTTCACCTCTAGGCCTTTGGGCAGTGGAGTGTGTGTGTATTTTGTTTGTAGGGGTTATCTTGTTTTGTTGTTGAGGTTCTAGGCCGCTTTTATGCGTNAAAAACCGTTGGTGCCCTTGATGTTCGATCGACCTACCAGTCCACCTGGTTTAGTCAGAACATTCCTTTAGCCGTACTCGACCTGGTATGGTATCTCATATCACAATGAATTTCAAATAACTAGGTTTGAGGAATCATTAAAAATCATTCAAAATAATAACGAAAATGTATCTAGCATGAATTTGAAATCCCGAACTTTTATTATCATCTCAACATGCATCGAGATTTGAACTTGTAAATTTGAAATCTATAGATTTCAAATCCCTCAATATATTCCTCAATTCAGACGTAGGCATTTGAAATACTTGCGCAAAGTAAAACTGTAAGATATATAAATATAAATGGCATAAACACAAAACAAGTTGTAAGATATATAAATGTAAATGGCAGAAACACAAAACAAGTAGTAAGATGTAGAAATGTAAATGGCAGATACACAAAACAAGGGCTCTAACAGAAAACTGAATGTTTGAACAACATGGTTCATTACTAAATAAAGGTTTCCCAAACGTAAATGACACGCATTTCATAACACCAAAATCTATTACTCCTGTTGCTTCTTCTTCTTGGGCCTCCTCTTTCTTCGAGGTTTTCTGGCATCCGAATTGGAACTTTGATTACCGCTGTTTCCGGTGGTCGAGCCCATCAACCCTCTCTTTCTTGACAAAGATCGATCAAAGCTACTGGATGTGTTGCTTGATGTAAATACATCACCTCTATTATACGACTTATTAGAAGAACCAGCAAATCTCGATTTTTTTTTCACTGAACTAGAAAACTGTCTGCAGGATGGACCGGGAGGAGGCATTAGAGCACGAGCTAAAATCTGTCTCTGACTCTGAGAATCACAAAATTTAACCAGTCAAAAGCTATAACCTTGAGATATCAGGAACATAAGGGTCAAACTCCAACATAACCTAATAAAATATATATATATATATAATGCAATTATATATATTAGCACCTAGTAGAAACTATTCTTAACGTAAGAACTATAAACCTTGCTAAAATACAATGGCAATATCATTACTTTAGCAGCGAATAAAATTACTTTTAGCAATGTGGTCACTACAAATTTAATAGTGGTGGCCTTGTTTGGCTATTTACTTAGTGGATAAAAAATGATTTTATTAAAATCAGCGTTTGTTAAGTAAGTGTTAGCTAAATAGCTAAAGTTTATAATTCTTACATTGTTTTTCCTTTTTTTGAATCCTTGATTTCCAGAATGCAGTTTTATTTTTTTATTTTTATTTTTTTTGTAAGCTTTTTCAAAATTAATGTTTTGGGTCCAAAAAGCTAATCAAATAAGTTCATTACGAAACAAGCCAATTAATTAGCATATTTGATTGATTAATCCTCTAAATAAGGTTCAATCCACTAATTTAGCACCAATCCGCTCACAAACATACAAGTCCAATGTATTTTATCAATACATATATTATAGCACTACATACAACCATGGTTATAAGGTGAGGCACCCGATCCCCTACAGAAAACCACCAGCCAAAAAACTGGTCGGACAGGTTAGAAATGGTAAAAGAATCCGGCCAGTCAGACTAATTCATTTTTTTTTTTTTACTTATTTTTGGTTATAAAAAGTTGTTTTAATATTTTACATATATTTTTAGTAGAAATAAAAAGGCATACTTAAATATTTTAGATATGTACAAATTATTATATCATTTACTTAAAGTATTTACATGCTTTAAATTAACTAGATATTTACTTAATATTAATAATATTTAATATATAAAATTAATTATTTAAAGTTCTATAATAACTTAATAATATTAATAAATAAATATCGGTTCCACCACTGGTCCGACCAGTGAGCCATTAAACCTAAAGCTCTTACCATTACCAGTTCAATTACCGGTTCGTTTTTTAGAACCTTGCATGCACCGTGGTAGAAGTACATATAACATATTTTAGTTCCTATTTGATCCATTATATATATATATAAAACAAGTCTTTTCCAAAATGAAAAATCCTATGATGAGGGTGCACCTTTACAAGAGAAAGGTAGCACGGGGTCATTTGTTATTTTAAGAGAGAACTAGTGCTTCTGTCATTACAATAAACCAGGGGTAATTTTGTCATGTAAAGCATAATGCAAGCTCTAACCTGATTCCTTTCATCGCTAGACACCCCAGAAGCAGCCTTACCCGAGGCACTGGAGGCTTGTTCCCTGCAGATGAAATTCAAATTAGTCAGACTTGAAAGATTAAGTTCTGATAATTTAGCAATGCTAACATATATAAAGGATGCAGTTGATCAGGTGTGCAAAACTGCCTGTGAAATCATCAAGGCTCTCTGTTCACCAGACAAGCTTTTTTACGCACAAATATTGAAAAAACAAAAGAGGCTCTTGCAGTTGAATTATGCACCTAGCGCTTTTGTCAGTCCACTCATCATCAGCATCAGCCTCATCGCTGGAGCTTCCATGTAAGAAGAAATCATCATCACTTGGATCCAAAAGCCCATCATCCTCACTCCCTGTTTCTGTTACAGAATGGATGCCAATAATGTAAAATGGATATTTAAAGCGGTGAAAGGGGAAAAGGAACGTCCATAGAATATAATAAGTCATGTGTGCACATAGCACTCATAACTTAAACAAAAAAGAAAAAAAAAAAAAGGGAATAAATGAGATTAGTAATTGCTTATTTTTTATTTTTTCAGGAACCAATAGATAAAAATTACGAATAGAGGAGCCGCGTCTTGAGAAATCATTTTCAATTGTCTTTTTCATTTTCTTTATTGAGGTACTATCACTGACATGTAAGCCATTCGATCAGGAGAAGACCAAGAAAAAACTGGATATCAAACAGCAAAAGGGATGCACCTTCCAAATCCTTCCCACTTGCTGCAGCAGCAACTAGATTTGCCTTAATTTGCTTACGCAAGCTGTTTCTCTTTTCTACAATATCTGTATCATCGCCTCCCATAAACAAGGAAACATACTTCTCATTTTTGGGGAAGAACTGGGAATAAATTTTGGAGAAGAAAAAAAGGATTAGTAATAATCTTTACAGCAGTTGAATATACAGGTAAAATCTGAATATAAGACAAGGTAACCTTCAAGAAAATATGCCCGTGCTACGTAGCATTTTGCTGGCATATAGTCAAAACACTTATGGTACCTATAGTCAAATTAATCTAGCTCCACTTGGGGAAAAAAAAAAGGTGCTTGCAACCATGACCATTAGTACACTGTATTTAAATTGCCCGAGAAAGGGGCGGAACTCATGACAGTAAATCTAGGGAAATCATGTGAAACAAATTAATGAAAAGCAGAAACTTAAGTTGGCCCTACCTTGTTAACATGAAGTACTTGCAGCTTAATTAACAATAATGATTGCCTGATTGGAAATCTATTATCAAATTTTGCTGGAAAAGTAGTAAAAGACAAACAAACTACTAGGGGAAGAAAATATGATACTAGTTAAAACAGGTTCATTATGAAACATGGTATGGAATAAAAAATAAACGTAAAAAATGTGGCTTACCCTAACATATTCAAGATCTTCCTTTAATTTTGTTAGCTGATCAGCAATCTCTGCTTCCTGGACCTGACCAGATGAAACACGCTGCTGCTTTTCCAACCTTCTTATCCTTCGCTCAATCTTTCTTCTTTCTATAGTTATACCAAGTCAATTTCATCTCTTGATTACGAGCATCTAGACAAGATGAAAATTTACTGAGACTGATACGTCTAAGCCTTACCAAAAAATTTGATCTTCCTGTTCCGTAGAAATATTTTTCGCTCCACGGCCAGACGGTTTTGGATTTCTTGTTGTTTCTTGAGCCCCTCCAACTTCTTCTCTTGTGCCTCCTTGACTTCATGTGGCAGATCCTGCAAATATATAAGGTGGTCAAACAATTATATTATGCATAAAAGAGGAAAATGTTTGTGTGGCGAAGAAAATGACAAACTCCAGGATCAAGCTTAGCAGCAAAAGCATTAGAAAATTCAAGGAACAAATTACTTTGCTTAAAAGAAACAAATTGAGATCCATTTTAAACTCTAAAAGAAAATAATGGTTGCAAACTAGTTTTACAAATGCAGGGACTTGATTAAAACATCTGCAAACTCGCAAAATTAACTCTAGCATGAGGGTCAGAGTTCTGTCCGATTATACAAAAAGTAAATGGGCAAACTCCACATTACCTTGACTTCAAAACTACATTTGAACATTGACAACCTAATAAGATACCAACACTTCGAGCATTAATAGAAATGAACAAATTCCAATTCTACTTAGTGTTGTATAGACATATATACAGATTTTAAACTTCAACAGTGTGACCTAAATTTAACTATATACCTATAAATCCCGCTACAACTGAACTGGAAGAACATCGCAAATTTCATAATTAGTAGCAAAAACAAATGTACAACAAAGAAAGCGGTACTCTGCCCCCGCAGACTTGTACACCAACCAAATCAACAGTACCCAATGTCACATCTAATAGAATCAAACGAATACAATTTCTCCCCCCAGATTTACAAAATTCATACACATATGCATTAGATATGCGTGTGTCTGTGTGTTTTTGCAATTACTTAAAGCTGAGGATGAGGGAGCAAAAATACTTTGCGGAGCATGCGCTCGATGGAGCGTATATGATTTTTGAGAGAGACGGCTTTGGGTTTGGTGGACTTGGACTTCTTGTCAACTGTTAGGGCTTTAGTACGCCGTTGTCCCGCCGGTTTCTTCCGCTCGGCGGCGGCTCTGCGATTACCGTAGCCGCCGTGCCCCATGTTTGATTTCTCCTTTCCCCTTGACCAACACAGTCTGCAATGTGCTCAGGTCATTTCATTTTTTTTTCCTTTTTTTTTCTCAATTTATTTGTATTAAATGCCTTGTTACGTTGTGCCGTGTTTGTCGTATTTGTTTTTTTCTAAAATTTATACGCATTAAAGTAGATAGGCCGTGCAAAATGGACGTGACAAAGATATTAAATGAGTCATTTCTACATAGTATGTTCGTTAAGAGAAATGTTAGAAATACATAATAGTGTACATAGAGTATACATAACACTCGCAGTCCTACCAAAAATAAAAAATCAAGTGGATCTCACTCTATATGAGTGTTATGTATATCTCTATGTACACTTATCATCAGGGATGTAGCCAGAAAATTTTTTGACCCAAGACTGCATATTTTTGTAGCTAACTGAGTAGACATAGTCATAGGCCGACCCAGCTTGTCGGCTCGGGCCGAATCGGCCCGTCGGCCTTTGGTCTTGAACCGGCCCGTGGTTTTGACCAGTTCGGTTCATGTACAATACTTTATAGTTTATACATTTTGAACCGGCAATTTCGGTTCCGAACTAGAATCGGAACCCGAGGTTTGGCTTTTAAAAAAAATATCATTTTTTAATTATTTTTTATTTTTCTTAATGAACCGGACGACCAAGAACCGACAGTTCAATGAATCGGCCCATACATATATATGTTTGCGCCGGTTCAGGGTTCTCCAACTCTCGGTTCGGGATCGGTGATTTCAACCCGTAACCGATTTTGGTGATCATGACTAGAACTAAATTATCTGATAACATATGTCGGTTTGAATTGGGAAAACTCAATCTCGATTCGCTTATATCTTTAAACAAGCCAAATCCAAATAGCTAATCGAATTTGTTGATCAAACAAATAGAGTCGAGCATGTTTGCACTCAACTCTATAAGAATTTTTTCTTTGTCTAGGAAATGAGGCCGAATTAATTATTGGATGCGAAATAAAAAAAAAATAATAAATGAAAATGGATAACAGACTGTGCAATAAGACGAACTCAATTAAATACCCCGCAGGAGAAGTGTGCGTCGAGCTTAATTATCCAGCTCATTTGGTACTAGTCAAGTTAACCCATTAAAAATATTAAAAGACAAGAGTGTGTTGAGCTACATTATAAACTCAATTAATAAAAATCTAATAAGGACACAATTATCATTTGACAATAAAGGCTTATCTTTTTTTCCTCTCACTGCGATCATCACTTTTCCTCCATTGTTGTCATATAAAAAATTTCGACTTGAATCTTGAGGCATCCAGCCCGAAATTAAATAGGGCTACATAAAAAATTACATGAGGCTAATGGGGCTTATGTATAAATTTTTTTTAAAAATAAGATTAGCATTTTTTTTATTTTTTTTGGGACATGGGGCTGGAGCCCACCCTAGCCCTAGGGTGGCTCCGCCCCTGCTTATCATGTACTTGTAGCATTTTTCGTTCGTTAAAGCCATAGACTTGGATCATTTTCTTTCACCTCTTTTAATCACTTGTTTTTTTAGCCATAACGTTAAACTTGAGTCTGCTAACGCTAGATTTTATATTAATTAATATATTGTCCTGTTGACACATTTATACAAATATAGATCTGCTTTTACTATATATATTTATATTTACACGTAAGTTATGAATAATTATTTATTTAAGTTTTAAATTTAGAATCCAAATTTGCATTACACATTAATTTTTTCTTAAGGATTTTTTATTAATTTGTTAATAGGAACTTTTTTTTTTCTTTTTTCTCTTTTCATTCTGTAAATTTTCCTAATCAAACTTTCTTAATATACTACAATTAGTTATAATTTTTTCTCATGAATCTATCGATTTTGCTTTCCAAATATAAATTCATGATATGATCCTTTTTCAATTTGTTTTTCCCTTTGCAGTACCGCCGCACCGTGTTAATCACATTTTTTTTCTCATTTACTATTTACCGCCCCTTTACTAGTCATCGCCCCCTCCCCTTTTTACTTTTTTGCCTTTAACCCTCTTACTATTCACCGTCCCTTTATTACTAACACCCCCTCTTTTTACTCTTTTGTCCTTAACTCTTTTCTCTCTCTATCTCTCTAAACTAGTTTTCTCTCTAAACTTCCAAACTTTCAACGAGTGATTCGAACACCGAAAAAAATCCGAAAAAATGTTAATAATAATAATAATAATAAATAATTCTAATTAAAATAATAATAATAATAATAATTATATAATAACAATTGTAAATTATAATAATAATTATTAAATATTATAATAATAATGAGTTGAATAAATTGTAATTAATTATAAATTGTAAAAATAATATTAATAATATTAATAATTATAAATTATAAATGCTTATAATAATAATGTTTATAAGTAATACTCATAATTTGTAATAATAATTATAATTAATAATAATAATTTGTAATAATAATTATAATTAATTATAATAATTATTATAAATTACAACAATAATAATTATAAATTATAATAATAAAATTTATAAATTAAAATAAAAATGAATTATAATCTATTTTAATAGTTATTACAATAGGTATTAGATATGGAAAAATTTAATGATTATATTTCTGATTCAGGGTATCAGCAAACCTGGACAATCTTATGCCAGGGACGACGACGAGGTTAATGAATATTATGAAGGTTCTGGCCCCCGACACACTAGAAGTAGGGGTGTAGATGCGTCCGTTCGTCGGGAGAGGGACAGACAGACGATGATCGATCAGGCTCGGAGGATAGATGCGTAACGTTCGTCGGGAGAGAGACAGACAGACGATGATCCTCAACTACAATATAATTTTGTAATTTAGAGGGATTATACAATTAATTAGTTACGAAAGTATTTGGATTATTTTTTATTATTGTTATAATCAATTAGTAGTGATATTATATAATAAATTAGTTTAAAATTGTCATTGTACTTTACCAATGTAAAATGTAACGTTTCTAAATGAGTTTTTTTTTTTATTGTAAAACATTAAGTTGAATGATTTGTAACACGAATTAAAAATGAAAAAATAAATTATCATTGATGCGATTTTCGATTGCAGAGACAGGCTCGTTCGTGTTACAGAGCAATCGAAAATCGCATCAATGGTATTTTTTTTTTCATTTTTAAGTTGAATGATTTTTTTTATTTGCTAAACTTCAGTTGAATGAGTTTTTTTTATTCTAACGTCCAATTTATAAAAAATTATTTTGAATATATAACATAATAATTTATAATAATATTATTATAAAAAAAACATGGCGTCCAGTCGGTCGGACCGGTCACGACCGGCCGTCGAGGCCGGACGCCAATTGGGCCGTCCGGTTTCGGCGGCCGGACAATATTAATTTTTTTTTACTTTTTGGAAAAAAAAGCCAGGGGCAAAAATGTCCAAGGGGGACGATAAATAGTAATAGGGGGGGCAGTGAATAGTAATGCCCTTTTTTTTATATCTTCCAACTTGATCATGGTGAAAGTTATTATTTTTTTAATTGGAATTGTATTCAGCCACTATTTTAATTTAAATCCAGTTGGACAAACTCTATAATTAATTAATTATATAATTTATTGAGAAGTATTATTAAAAAAATTATTTGGTGATTGCTGTTATTATGGGAATATACTTAAAATTTTATAATCATATCACTTTGATTTGATAACAAATCAATCTAAAATCTCGACTTTCATATCCATACTAAATAAAATTCATACCATTTATTTTGTTTACAAAATTTTTCAAATACACTTCTATCCATACCAAATAAAATCATACCATTTAAATTCGGACATTTCATACCAAAATAAAATCACTCACTTTATACCATAAAATCGGACATTTACTAATAACAACACATTTCCTACCAAAAATAAAAATGGTCATCATATACCTACAATAAAATCTTCCACTTTATACCCAAATCAGATTTATTAGTTTTTCCAACTTTAAAAATTATCCACTTTTTACCAAAACTGGATTTATTAATTTTGACAATTTTATACCAAAAATTGATTAATTAATTTTTAGAGGTGGGATTTTTTTAAATTTTTAAAAATAATTACCAAGTTTAGTAATTTTAAAAAATTTAGGCGAGATTTTAGTTTATACTGCAAGTAAATGCAAATCTTTATATATATATATAGATTGGTTCCAATGCATCCGCTTATTTAAAGTGAGGATGTGAGACTCATTTCTAGCCACAAGATTTAGATCTTGATTTAAATAATAATTCTTTATTTTTAATTATTTAAATATTATTTTGACCATTGACCGTTGACTCCAGCGTTGACCGTTGACTCCGGCGTTGACTTTTGGCTAGAATCGTTGACTTCCGGCGTTAACCGACTTTCGCACATTTACCCGTTGACCTTAGTATGCATCATGTATGAAAGAATAATTAAAGTCAGCTAACCTTGCAACTAAAGACAACTAACCTTACAACTAAAGATAATTAACCTTGCAACTACAGACAACTAACCTTGCAAACTGAATGCAATTAAACATTGCAAATAAAAACAACTAACCCTGCAACAAGATAGAACTAATTTTGCAACTACAGACAACTAACTTTGTAACTAAAGAAAACTAACATTGCAACTAGACAGAACTAACCTTGCAACTGGACATAATTAACCTTACAACTAAAGACAACTAACCTTGCAACTACAGACAACTAACCTTGCAAACTGAATACAACTAAATATTGCAAATAAAAACAACTAACCCTGCAACATTTTTACAATAACTTTACAACATATTTACACTAACTTTGCCTCACCATATTTACTTCATACACAATACATATTATGGTCAACAGGTCAATGTCAGAGTCAACGCCGGAAGTCAACTATTTTCGCCGGAAGCCAATGATCAACGCCGGAGTCAACGGTCAACGCTGGAGTCAACTAATAATTATTTCTATTATTTAATTAATGTATATTTTAATTGATTAACATAAATCCTTGATCTAGACAAAATGAGTGGCTAAGATTGAGTCTTACGTACTCATTATAAGGATGTGGTTCAAATGAGAACCAAGTCCTAGCGTGAAAACTGTGAGAACCGCTATTTTTAATTTGTATGTAGTGCTATGATTAATTGTGTTCTAGTGCTATTTTTAACTAAGATGTATTTGATTAAAAATAGCAATAAAATTTTTATTAGCATTTGTGAGAATGATAGCACCATGCAATATTAAAAATAGCATCATACGCAATTAAAAATAGCATCAAATATGGTTCTCATGGTTCTCACACCAGACCTAGTTTTTATTTGAACCAACCCCTATATATATATATAGAGAGAGAGAGAATTATATATATAAATATAGATTTCTCTTACTTATAATAAAACACAATATTAGACTTGATGGTTAGACATTTACACACACATATATATACATAGATGGGGGTGGATAAATTGGGGACACCCCTTAAAATGAATATATAAGACTCAATTTTAGCCATTCATTTTGTGTATACCAATGCCTCGTATTAATCAATTGAAAAATACATTAATAAAATAATAAAAATATTATTATTATATTTAATTAATTATATAATAAATAAATTTATTTATTTGTGTTGGCCATTGACCGGCCGGCCACGGCCGTTCACCGATCGGCCCTAGCACATCCTTCCGCAGCCGACACCCCCTCCTGAAGTCCACCTCCCCCACCGATCCACCCACTGCCGCAGTCATCGCCCCCTAGTGCCTCTCTGCTGCCTCCCGGCGGCCCAAGCGTTTTCCGATCACCGCCCCCCGGAGCTTTGTCATCAGGTCGTCTTTCACGAACTAGGGTCGCGTACATGAACAAGGGTCACCCCGGACCAATCGATTCTCACCCAAATGACGACATTTAGGGTCGCGTTGGCACAGCTTGCGAAGTCGAGCTTTCTGGTCACGCACGCAGACGCATCATGAATGAACTAGATATGCATCATTATATATTTAATTTAAATATAACAAATATGCACTATGGACGAACTAAATATGCATTGCATATGAACTAAATATGCATCATGAATGAAATAAATATGCATCAGGTATATATCTATTTTAAATATAACAAATATGAACTATTGATGAACTAAATATACATGTCGTATGAACTAAATATGTATCATGAATGAACTAAATATGCATCATGTATATATTTAATTTAAATATAACAAATATGCAATATGAATGAACTAAATATGCATTTCATATGAACTATAGGCATCATGAATTAACTAAATATGCATCATTACATATTTGATTTAAATATAACAAATATGCATTTTGAATTAACTAAATATGCATCATGAATTAACTAAATATGCATCATGAATGAACTAAATATGCATTATGAAATAAATATGAATTTCTTATTCTCAAATAAATATGCATTACTTATGACTGAAATATGCATTGTGTGTGATCTAAACTTGGACAAGAAATAAACAAAATGTGCATTAATTGCAATATGTTATATATTTTTGAAATTGCAAACAAATCCTCTCAATTTGTCTAATTTTTTAAATTAAGCCCTAGCCCTAAATCCAAGTTCAGCCGCGCGTCCACCTTACCCTCCACTTCTCGGCAACCAATTTGGCGAGGCCGAGCCATGAAAGGAGCCTGAACCACCCCCGGCAACCGAAGTCACCAGCGGAGCATTCGATTCCACTCCACTACAGCTGCAGCAAACAGTCACGCTAATCCTAGCCTCACCGCCTTCTGCCGATATTTAGTTAATACAAAACGCATATTTTTTTATATTTCAATTAAATATATAATGATGCATATTTAATTCATACGAAATGCATATTTAGTTCATCCATAGTGCATATTTGTTATATTAAATTAAATATATAATGATGCATATTTAGTTCATTGATGACGCATGTTTAGTTAATTCATGATTCATATTTAGTTCATCCATAGTGCATATTTGTTATATTTAAATTAAATATATAATGATGCATATGTAGTTCATTGATGATGCATATGTAGTTAATACAAAATGCATATTGTTATATAACTTAAATATATAATGATGCATGTTTAGTTCATTCATGATGTATATTTAGTTCATACGAAATGAATATTTAGTTCATCCATAGTAAATATTTGTTATATTTAAATTAAATATGATGCATATTTACTTCATTCATTATGTATATTTAGTTCATTAATTATGGATATTTAGTTAAGACGAAATGCATATTTAGTCCATCCATAGTGAATATTTGTTATATTTAAATTAAATATATAATGATGCATATTTAATTCATTTATGATGTATATTTAGTTCATCGATGATGCATATTTAGTTAATACGAAATGCATATTTGTTATATCTAAATTATATACATACATGATTCATATTTAGTTAATTTATGATGTATATTTAGTTCATACGAAATGCATATTTAGTTCATCCATTGTGCATATTTGTTATATTTAAATTAAATATATAATTATGCATATTTAGTTCATTCATAATGCATATTTACTTAATTGAGGATGCATATATTTAGTTAATATGAAATGCATATTTAGTACACATTTCCTTCTTAGGTTGGTAATTTTCTCTCCTAAATTACGATTTACAAATCATTTTCACTGTCTATTCCTCTTTTTTATCATCAATTAATTAGTCCATCAAAATTTTTAAATAATAAATTTATTTTAACAATAACTTTTATCATATATTTTTAACTTAACACCCGTGTAATACACGGTTATTATACTAGTTTACTCTTAAACCTAAAACAATCGTTCATTATACATAATGTAAAACTTTTTAATTTAAATTAATTTATTCCTCAAGTAAAAATTAAAACATAATCTACCGTATTAGTGTACCATAGTGTGTAATGGTGCATGAAAATAAAAAAATAAAAAAATTCTACACAAACATGAATTTTAATATGTATTTATAACTCATGAAAATAACTATAATTGTAACTATATTAAGAAAATGCACATGAAAATTATGTCACCATTTAGATAACATAAATTTTAATAAATTGCTAGCAAATATTAATTGATTTTTTTTTATATATATTTAGTCAATAAAATTAACAAATAAGACTTACCTTCTTCAACAAACTGAATGCCTGAATAGACCATATAAATATAAAAATATATACAATTAAATCAAAGAAAAATATAAATCATGTACGCACATGCACTATACTAGTACCATCAAAGGTTAACAAAAAATCATATCAGGAAAATAAATTATCTATATTTTTCCTCTCACTCCTATAATTTTATAACAACCTTATAATAATACTAGGAATTTCTTGGTTGTGCGATGCACAACCGGCCCATAATCCTAAAATTATTATGTCTAAAGATGATATTCCCAAATTTTAAACAGATATATTTAAAATTGCATCAAAAGATTATCGAACATAAACAAATTATACGGTAAAAATTTGATACCACGCAGGAATGTTAAAACAAGACATTTTAGTTTTCAAAATCAAAGATAGTTAGTTAAACATTAAGTGGTTTACAAACTATTTGTTTTCCTTGTGTAATTAATTTGGGCACAAGAGGCCGCAAATTATCTCAATTTTCAGCATGTACATGATCCTAATATATTTTGTAATAGATAGAGATGTCTAACCGAGTGGGTTATAATTTTATAATAACACATTTCATTATTGTGAAACAATGACTTACACCAATTTCCTTTTAAAGCCGAAACATTTGTATTTTCAAAATGGATAACACACTTGCAATAAAATAAATTATGGTACACCAATTGACATGAGATGAGATGAAGTGGATGGAAGACAACAAATTAATTTAGGTATGAAAAAAGAAAAGTAGTTCCCCATATTCAAACACATTCACGTTTATGGTCGATGAGATATTTTTTCAAACAAAAAAAGAAACGTCTAGCAAGTAATAAGAAATATTAAAATTGAGAAAAAAAACATCCCAAAATTACACATGAGAGAGTTAGTAATGAGGCCGCGTTGTGTGAAAATAGAAAAATTAACTCCTTTTAAATAAGTTGAAAAAATAAACAATCAGCCTAATAAATAAAAATAACTTACCTAAATAACACGATTCACATTCTCATGAAACAATAGTTCCGGAGTAGGGACCACACAAGGAATTCCCCCAGTTCCCTTTATTAGATATATAGGGACACGGACAAAGGAAAGAAAAAATAAGCCCAATCAAGGCCCAAAANAGGGTAGTTAATTTCAAACCTACTATTATTAAGATGTAGAGGGATAACTCGCAATTTCAAATGAACGAACAGAGTAAATCACAAGAAAAGAAAATGACGAACGGCATATCATTGAGCGAGACATGCAAAGCTATTTGGCAACCATTTTGCCAATTTTCATACTTTTAGTTTTCCCAGCCAAAAAATGGGAAAGAAAAATAAAACTACATAATCACTGGCTGTTCTCCTTCAAGCTCGGATATAACGATCAACGAGTCACTGAGTCCAAGACTTAGAGGCTCCGACTTAGGAATTGGGTTTATGACCTGTGGAATCAATCAAATGCACAGCAAAATAGTACATTGACAGCCATTTTTTTCAACTTTCATATATCCAAAAAACTAAGATTTGAATTAATACCTTTCTGTTGCTCTTAACATAACCAATAGCAACTTCTCTACGTAGATTTGCTCTTTCTGATAGCTCGTTAAATGAGGGGTTCTCTCCTTCTTTCATGTAAAGGCCAACGTCCTGTCCAATAATCGCAAACAATTTCGTTAGTAGAATAATATATGAACATACCATAAGTGACCAACTGGAGATATATCAACTAGGCCAATGATCTAATTGCCACTCAAATTTTTGCATCTTGACAAATGATAATAATGGATAATTACAGGCAAAATTGCATTTTTAGTCGTGCTAACGCCATAGCAATTTTAGTCCCAGGGTTCTAACATTTCAGTTTTTGGTCATGTGATTTAATATTTTGCTCGAATTCCCAGATTTTTTATTAGCAATTCAATTCCTATAATTTAAAATTTTGTTGCAACTTCAGTCCTGTAATTTAAAATTTTGTTGCAATTTCAGACCTCAAAGGACTTAAATTACAACTAAACCACAAGGCGAAAAGTTGAAATTTTGAGACTAAGATTGCTATGACGTTAAACCAATAGGACTAAAAATGCATTTTTGTCATGATTACAAATACTAAGAAACTATAGAATATAGGACTAAAAATGCATTTTTGTCATGATTAAAAATGCATTTTCCCAAAATGGACTTCTTTTGGTAATAATAGGCTTAACCTCATGAATATTTTTTCTTAATTAAACTATAGAATATATGATTATGTAATATCAGCCCATGGTGCACAGAGATTTTACCTTTACGTATATTTCATCGCCCTCAAAATTCAGAATGTCTTTCCAAACCTCATTCAGTTCAACGTTTTCCGCCACTGCACAAAACAACCTCACCATTGACAATAAAATTTACTGGAAATTTTTGAGTAAAACAAATGCAAAATTTGAGAATCCATGTAAAATGGATAAATTGAAAAACCTTGAGCTGTCACAAGGCTCATTACTTCTTCTGCTGCAATATATGTGAGCGATGGTCTGATGCGTGTAATCTGTAAAATAGTAAAAGTTTGAAGAGGGGGCCATGCAATGTAAAATTAGGAATAATCACAAAGATTTATCCCAAAAGTCTAGACGTCTAGCTAAATTAGAGAAAGAAAAAAGAAAAAGGAAAAGATGAAGTTATTTTACAAAATTGCATATAATCTCTAGTGTGTGTGCCAAATGCCGACAGGTCACTCAGATTTGTATATCGAATTTCTCCACCTCGAGAGGGTAAATTCGTTAAACAATAGTAATATACAAATAAAATAAAATAAAATTCAATGGAGTAACAGTGGTTTTAAAAGATAACTGATTTCGTAATTAATTAGCCAAAATCTTAGAATTTGTTATTGTGATTAACACTGAATTACGTCAAAAATAATTTCGACATATAGAGAGGACTGACTTGTTTTCCTAATTTTGAGTCCACGATTTCTGCTACAAGGTTTTGCACCTGCAGGTCATGGAAGTGAGTTAATAAGATAGAACGTTAAGAAATAAATTATACCATTTATATCCAGAAACAGCTCATCAAGTAGAATGTTAATAGGATTGACAGGAAAATCTGAACAAAATATTTAAGGTTTTCTGCAATTTTATTAGTTCATGTTCATACTTGGATATGAAGCACAACTTTATATTAAGACGGGTTATTTGGATAACAAGATCGAGTAAAATGGAAATTATTATTCAATCATAGGCATCTTTTTAACATATTTTAATCAATCATACCTTTACACCAAGTTTACCACATATATTTTCAGCAAGAAGAAGGGAATATGCAGAGTTTTTGTCTGCCCTTGACGGATCTGAACAAGGAGAACATGTTCATTTTCAGAAAAAGATCAAGCCATTTTGAAACAAATCAAGGTCGGAGTTTTAATTACCTCCAACTTGCCAATCTTTTTCAGAAAGTACGGCTATGGAAAATGAAACCTCGTCTTCTTTCTTGAAAGACCTTTGAATGTCGATAATGGTGTCCTCTAACGTGTTGTAATCCATTGAATTTCCAACCTGAGATAGGCGAGAACAAAATCAACCCTTCCAAAATATAACTGAATGATAAAACCCCATGAAATATTTTCTCAATGCGAGAAATAAGAATATTAATTCAATTACTCTATTAGAAACTCGAATATTTTTCAGCTTTCCTTGACCAGCAAGTTTGCAAGCCTTGTATCTGTCATCCAAAGGAACATCTGACAAAATTTCCTGTGCAACAAGACAAGAAATAATTTATCATGTTCCAAACAAAAATTGCAAGTCGATATATGAAGACAAACATAAAATGATAGTACAAGCATCTGAAACTATCGATGAACATAAATAAAAACTGTAGAAAGTTAATTTCGTTATGTGCCACGACTTTAGTTAAATTATTTTATATATTTCAGAAGCATCTAATGAGAAAAGTTCATAACATCTGCAAAACATGGGCTATAAGTCACAAAAAAGTAACCTTAAGGTTTACTCTAATTTCAAGAGGAATAAAAGAAAAGGAAATGGTAGCTAATTTTCATCATCACAAACAAATACTCACTTCTTTTTTCCATTCAACAAATTGCACCATTAGTAAAGGGTATTTGTAAGGCTATACAAATTCCAAGAGGATGATCATAGTAAGTAATAACAAGATAGGATAGACGCAATTCGGAATTTTCAGTTCCCAGTCCTTTTTCATTTTTCTATTCTCTTTCTGTCTTTTGATTTTTTCTTCTACTAACTTTCATAATTTTTACTTAAAATCATAATAACCAATTTTACCAAGACACTGCCAGGTCCAAGGTAGTTATCATATTCTTCGATCATCTCCACAACATCAGGCCGCCACCCGAGCACCAGCACACACTCTTTAGGACCTAAGCACCAATCAGAAGCCTGCATGCAAGCAAAAATCCAAAAAATATCAAGGGCTGCCAATAGGATATAAAAATGACAGATTTGTCCTCCAGTACAAGGTGTGCACATACCTTAGAGCCCGACCTTTTGGGTCTTTTGACTATACTGTCCAGCCTCTCTCTCGAAATATTTATGAAGTCATCGTCTTTGGCTTCATGAGGATATGATAGAAGTGGTTTCTTCTTCCCGTGCACAGGCCCAATGAATAATACCTGCAAATGAAGTGAGAGGATTTATTAAGAAGAAACTGAGGACATTTTGCATTATATCCTTACAGAACTAAATTCCTCATCTTTGGTTTATAAGCCGATGAATGAGGGGAAAATTTACATGTGTGGGTTTTTTTCAAAATGTTCGCCAAAACCTTTACTTCAGGTGCTAGTTTTACAAAGTTATACTTGGTTTGAGTTTAATTAATAAAAATGGGGAAACTTATCTTAAAGAACTTCAAATATTCGCTTGTTATCCATTTTACAAAGTGCATGGACACTTTTGCCTTCTACGTACCTTGTCAGTTTCATTCAGAATCTCTTCATCACTTGGGTGAAATTTTATCTGTCCATCTCGATAAAGCCCACAAACAACTGCCTGAAAAATGGTCATTAAAGCAAGAAACTCAGAAAACGTGTCAGTTTATAAAGCCCAACAAGCAGGATCTTATTGGTTATGGTTTACCTCTTGAAATCCACGTCTCAACTGTCCGTAACTCAATCCAGCTAGATGGGGAAAATTGCAGAGGTTGAATACATTTTCTGCCAAGAACAGGTAACACCATAGTTACAAAATTAATAAAGATAAAATTCTTTTTTCTTCTGAGGCAGGATAAAATTATTTTTTAATCAACCTTTAAACAGCAACGGTGCAGAAAATAAATAACAAAATATTTGAGATTTTATGACGTAATATAAAAGATAAAGGAAAGGGAGATACTCCGATAGTTGAGCAAATGTTTATAAATTTTTATAAGTCCTTTTTGCCTAGAGCACTGAACAAATAGTTTGGACGTGACGTTCTCCACGGGTTGCACTTTCAAGCCTGAGATTGACTTTAAAAGCTCGGATGTACTTGAACTCGAGACCTGCACCACAACCAAGAATATTTGTTCCAACTAGTAATTTGCAAGAGACAAATACCACCAGCAGATTTACCTCAACTATAGTAGGCACAGAGGCCATTTGCTGAAGAGGCTGAAGGGCAAGAACGGATAGAAATGCATCCGAGTCAACTTCATACCTAAAAGAACAAAAAAAAAGAAAAGAAAAATATTGCAAATGAAAAGGTTTAAAATGGTAGTGTCTTGAAGTTTTTACTGAGACAATTAGGTTTGTTAACCACTATTTGTCCTAATTTTCTTTCATTTATATGTAACACAATCAGCGGACTTGTTAGAAGCTTGTTGGAATAGTAAGTCAATAAGAAGTCTCTTCATTAGAAATGTAAGTACAAGTCACTGCTATAGTCCCAGATAGACCCTTTACAATTTTTGGCTCAACTAGAAGTTTTATTTAATAAGATACAACGACAAAGAAATCTGATTTAAGCAAGTCAGCTGAAGCAATATTATCTGATTCTTACCGATCTTCCTTTGTTGGCAGTATAATTATGGCACGTGCTTTACTTGCTGCAGCTCGTTCAAATGATTTTGTTAAACTTAGACTACAACTGAACAAGCAATAAATTTATGTTAGGCAAAAAGCTAGCGATATAGAAACATTATATTATAGTTCAATATTGGTGAGTGCATAAAACATAAAACAAAATTGTTTCTAAACTTCCCATCCGCTCAAATGTTTCAGAATATCCATAAAAATAGGAATATTTGGTCATAACATCACTTCAAATCAAGAATGTATATAATCCATGCCATTATTAGTAAAAATCACCTTTTTGTTAGAATATCAATATGGTTAAGATCTTTGGCAATGTTGTCAGCCACCTTGTCCATCTGTTTCCTAGGAAGGTCGGACATAAGAAGAATTCTTTGTCTCCTGAAGAAATATATTCACATATAAGAAGCACTCCATTGTCTTAAAATAGTATATACCATATCCCCAATATATGTATAGTATCAAATGAGAATGGGATATAGCTAAAGAAATAAGAACAAAATAGAGCCGTCGGATATGATATATTAACACTCCGGGTGAACTGCTCTAGGTCAAACACACGGTGGCATTATCGTAATATTGTCATATTTCTGGTTATGATATTTTTAAGTATGAATTCTTTTAATAAAAGTATGCATATTTGTGGAAAGAGTATACCGGCCTAACACAAGACCTACCGATTTATATATATATATATATATGTGTGTGTGTGTGTGTGTGTGTATGAAATTTAGAGACTAATAGAACAATTACCTAGCCGTTGCAGTTCCCAACCGAACAGCGAATTCATGGTATTTATTTAGCTGCTTCAACACAAAGCTCAAACGATTGTTGACTCCACAAATAATTATGTGATCCGTCTCCATGACTTGGACTTGAGCACCTTCTCTGAGTCTGTACATATTACTCTGTGGAAATACTATTCAGGGATAAAAAATTTATATGTTGCTTACACAGAAAATATTTAAAAGGGAAAGAAAGAAATCTTACTCTAAATTGTTCAGTCATTGTGCTCAATAGCCGAGAATAGAACAGTATGCCCCAAATAGCAAGAACGAAACCAAGAACACGCTCAATTCGAGTTCTTTGCTGCATTGGAAGCAAGAAAGATGGGTTTTAACAGTAAAAGTTACTATCTCAAAATCTTCTTAGCAATATACAATGAGGGTTACGTTCTTTTTTTATCAAGCGACAAGAACGAATACGAGTCACACTTTCAAGTGAGTGGACGATGAGCACAAACAAGCCCAAGCTTCCCAAAAACAATCCTCAAGAGATTGATTGCTGCCCCTGTACATCTCCACATATACATATCACATTCAGTCAACATCCATGAATCTTAGATGATATATTTAACATTGAAAAAGATACTAAAATGAATCTTCAGTATGATAATTTATCTTATCACATAGTTATGAATCTGGTATAATGACAGTCCCCTCGACGAAAACAATTAAATGAACATTACTTGGCAAACCATAAAAATGTTGGAATTCAGAAAGTTAAAATACATAGTAGAAATAATAAGAAAAAAATCTGAAAAACGGCATGCTTGTGTGCCTATCTTATTACAAAACTTTATAATCAGCTGAGTTTAGTTGAACTTTTCTTTGCAGTAGCAGAAGCTAATCCAAATTTGAGAAATATACCGTATACAAAAGTCTCCCATTTTTGCTCACGCACAATCTTATCATGTGGATTTCAGAGAGAGACCATTATCGTATCAGGTTAAGCAAGTCTTCAAGCACCCAAAAGAAGATAGGCTCGTATAAGAGAGTTTACATTACAATTGTGGAATTAAATTATTCCTAGTGCACAAGGAGCATCACATATTTAAGAACCATGACAAATAACAGGGAGAAAATCCTTCGAAGATTACAAATAATGTAAAATATATGAGGTATTAGCTATAAAACAGCTTTTAGTTTGTAATATTTGACCTGCTTTGCTGATAATAGTTTCTAAAGTCTCAATATTATGATTTCTTGCCATGTTTTATGTTCTTACAGCAATATAGTTGCACAGAAAAACAGAAGTATGTGAACAAGACAGCGAAAAAGGGAAAAGCTCTGGTATTCCCTGCCTTGATGCCTGGGGAAGGCATCATACAGTTTCAACATATGAAAATAGTTAAAGTTGCCAAGAACAATTTTTTCCCAAAAACCACAACTTATAATCTATGATTCATATCAGTAAGACCCTTCGAAATTTATGATAGTACTTTACCTGAATTTAAAGAAGAGAAAGCCACCAATAATGACAAAAGAAAAGCATGCCACAAGAAGCACAATGAAGAACCTGCAGATATTCATATTGAGAACTTGTAATCAGTTTTAATACAAAAGGTATGGTGAAAGCAGAAATTAGGCATAGGAAAATCAACGTCTGATAGGAAGAATAAA